CAGCAGCAGCAGCAGCAGCAGCAGCAGCAGCAGGCTGTGCTAACCTAGGCCAGCAGGCATGAGGACTTGAAGCCTTTTATGCGACGTCAGTACACTGCACAGCGGACCCCGAGACTGCGGAGACACAACACAAACCCCAGTCACCGGCTAGCTAGCTAGCTAGCTAGCTAGCTAGCTAGCTGTTGGTGATGTAGGTAGCTAGCTACATTCATCCAGCTATCTTGACTCCGCGGCAGCTAGCTAGCTAGCTAGCTAGCTAGCTAGCTGGCTTTCCGCCTGCCTGCAGACAGCTAGCCAGCCATCTCCATGTGCTTATACAGCCTAAACCCTAAACCATAAACCCTAAACCATAAACCCTAAACCCTAAACCCTAAACCCTAAACCCCAAGAGCAAACTCAGCTACGCACCCCCTTCGACTCGAAGATGTATGAGACGTCGTTCTTGATCTGCGAAACAGAAACACCCTAAACCCTAAACCCTAAACCCCAAACCCTAAACCCCAAACCCTAAACCCTAAACCCTAAACCCTAANAAACCCTAAACCCTAAACCCTAAACCCTAAACCGCAGACGCTCAATCCGAAGGCAAGCCGTCTCTAACAGCCACCCTGCAGCCCAGCACAGCCTAGACTGCGGGTCTATCAGAAAACCCTAAACCCTAAACCCCAAACCCTAAACCCTAAACCCTAAACCCTAAACCCTAAACCCTACATTGCACTCGAAGCCCTTGTCGTCAACGAAGAGACAATAAGAGTCATCGCTAAACTGCACCAGACGGCAGTTGCTCCGATACTGCAGCAACTCGCACAGCAAACCCTAAACCCTAAACCCTAAACCCTAAACCCTAAACCCTAAACCTCTAAGAGATACTGGAGACCCTTCTAAACCCTACCGCGGGCTGTAAACCCTCACTGCTGGCTTTCCTTCTGCTGCTGCTTCTTCATCGTAGGAGAACCTGCAGCACAGCAGCAGCTGTCTATACCCCAAACCCTAAACCCTAAACCCTAAACCCTAAACCCTAAACCCTAGCCCCTATCCCCTAATCCCTCCGACGCAAACCAGCGCCCATCCCTCCCTCTATCTGTCTCACTTGATTGCAAACCCTTCCTGCTGCTGCTGCTGCTGCTGCTGCTGCTGCTGCTGCTGCTGGTTGTCTGCTGCAGTGATGAAAGACAGAGCAGGAGGGACCCTCCAGGTAAGGAAAGTGCTGCTGCTGCTGATGTGTGGGGCGAGCGGGGCCTCGAGCAGCAGCTGCTGCAGCGGGAGAGATTCAGCTGTCTCCTTTTGTGTCTCCTCTGCAGCAAACCCTTCTGTCTCCTCATCAGCATCTGCTGCTGCAGCAGCTGCAGCAGATGCAGCAGCTGCTGCTGCACCTGATGATAACTCCGCCTCGGACTCACCCCCTCTCCCTGCTGCTACTGCTTCTGCTGCTGCTGCTGCTGCTGCTGCTGGCTCTGCTGCTGCTGCTGCAGCAGGAGACAGGTCCTCGCCAAAGAGGTCTTCATCGCTCCCCAAGGAGGCGTCCCCGCTTTCTTCATCTCCTGAACCGAAGAGATCTGCTGCTGCTGCTGCTTCTGTTTCTGCTGCTGCTGCAGTTGGCTCTCCTGCTGCTGCTGCTGCTGCTGCTGCTGCTTCGGGTGTTGCTGTTGCTTCTGCGGCGGATTCTGGTGTCTCTGCCGCTGCTTCTTCTGCTGGTGTTGCTTCTGCTTCTGCTGCTTCTTCTTCTGCTGCTGCTGCTGCTGCTGTTTCTGCTGCGGCTGCTGCTGCTGGGGGGCCAGCTGCAGGAGAGGCCTCAACACTCTCATCTGCTGCTGCTGCTGCTGGTGCCGCTGCTGCTGCATCCAGCTCCGCAGTATCTGCTGCTGCTGTTGCTGCCCCTTCTTCGGCAGTTGCTGGATCTGCTGCTGCCACGTCAGCAGCAGCAGCAGCAGCAGCAGCAGCAGCAGGAGCGGGGTCTCCCTCTATCTTTGAGGCCTCAGGGGGGGCCTCGCTGGAATCTGAGGGTTTCATTTTGCTGCTGTTTTTGTAGCTGGTCAGATACCCCGCATGTGTCAAAACCCTAAACCCTAAACCCTAAACCCTAAACCCTAAACCCTAAACCCTAAACCCTAATGCATAAACCCTAAACCCTATATTTCGAGAGATCACTGAGAATAAAGAAAGGGTTAGAGTTTCACAAAAGATGAACTTAAAAGCATGTATCCCGAATCTCTTAATTTAGCCTCTAGGGTTTAGGCTTTAGGGTTTAGGGTTTAGGGGGCCCCGGGGGCCCCGAGGGCCCCACGCCTGTAGGGAGCTTTCTGCTCGCTGTGTTCTTTCTTTAGATAAAACTCTATTTAATTTTATTTTATAAATTTTTTCTTAGGGTTTAGGGTTTAGGGTTTATGTATTGCTACCTGCAACTAGGGTTTAGGGTTTAGGTATTGCTGCCTGTTGCTTGTTTAGAGTTTAGGGTTTAGGGTTTAGGGCCTAGCTGTTGCTGCCTGCTATTAGGGTTTAGGGTTTAGGGTTTAGGGTTTATGTATTGCTGCTTAGTATCAGGGTTTATGGATTGAGTATTGTTGCCTGCTATTAGGGTTTAGGGTTTAGGGTTTAGCTCTTGCTGCCTGCTATTAGGGTTTAGGGTTTAGCTCTTGCTGCCTTCTATTAGGGTTTAGGGTTTATGTATTGCTGCCTGGGATTAGGGTTTAGGGTTTAGGGTTTAGTAGCAGCAGCAGCTCCTCTTTGTTTCATTGCAGCTAAGAGGAGACAAAGGGAGCGTACACAGCAGAGACACCCCAACCCAACCGAAGGGGACAGCAGCAGCAGCAGCAGCAGCTGCTGCTGCTGCTGCTGTTGCTGCTGCTGCTGCTATATGTGTGTGTGCTTTTTTTGTGTTTGTCTCTGCGGCATCATCTGAGGCAAGTCGAGCTAAAGACACGAAGAGTTGCTGTCTCCTGTCTCCTTTTCTGTTTCTCTCTGTCTCCTTTTCTGTCTCTCTCTGTCTCCTCTCTCTCTCTCTGTCTCCTTTTCTGTCTCTCTCTGCCTCCTCTGTCTCTCTGTCTCCTTTTGCGTTTCTCTCTGTCTCCTTTTCTATTTCTATATCTGTCTCCTTTTTGTCTCTGTCTGTCTCCTTTTCTGTCTCTTTTTGTTGTCTCTCTACTTCGTGCTGAGCCCTAAGACCGTCCTGCTCCTGGCTGGCTGGCAGCGTAGCTAGCTAGCTAGCTAGCTAGCTAGNTAGCTAGCTAGCTAGCTAGCTAGCTAGTTTTCCACCCATGTAGCTAGCTAGACGGCTACCAACGTGGCTAGCTAGCTAGCTAGCTATCTTTCCACACAGCTAGCTAGCTAGGCGGATACCTATGTGGCTAGCTAGCTAGCTAGCTAGCTAGCTAGTTAGCTAGCTAGCTAGCTAGCTATGTGCTATGTAGACAAAGATCAACGACAACAAAAGAAGACTTCAGGTGTCTCCTTTGGGGTGTCTCGACAGCTGGGGCCTCTCAAAGCGATAAAGCAGCAAAAGGGGGCGCCCGCATGCAGCGCAGGGGCCCCACAAGAGGCAGCAGAGGAGACAATTAGATTACATCTGTCTCCTTCTCTCTCTGTCTCTCAACTGTTTCCTTTATCCAGGCAACGGGGCCCCTCAGCTAAGACACCAGGGCCCCTGTTATTGATGGGGGCCCCCAAGAGTAGATGGGGCCCCTTCGGGTCCCTTTTATCTTCTTGATACAACTCATCATTACACTTACTCTGCATGAGAGCACAGGGGGGCCCCTGGGGGGCCCCCCTGAAGGGCCCCTCAGGGGCCCCCCATATTCAATCCCTCTCGAACACATAAGCTCGTTCCTGTCACCTTAACAGCCAAAGGGGGCCCCCCAGGATGACTTCGTTGGGGGGGGCCCCCAGTACATCATCAATCGGGGGCCCCTCCAGTACCAGCTTGTTGGGGGGCCCCCCAGTACGACTGCGTTGGGGGCCCCCCCCCAAGCTGGTCTGCTGAGAGACAGGGCCCCTCAATGCAACACGGGGGGCCCTCGAGGGTCGTCGTACCCTGCGGCCAACTGCAGGCTGAAAGGTGAGACAGGGGGCCCCTTGGGGCCCCCAGGGGGGCCCCCAAGAGGCCCCCCACATCGTTAATAGAATAGGCACAAAATACGGCGCCAAGGGGGCCCTCGATGAGGGGGGCCCCTAAGGGTACAGCTGAGTACGGGGGGCCCCCTCGGGGCCCCTGCTGCTGCTGTCAGCGGACAAAGAAGTAAACTACGAACTGGGCAACGGTGGGGCCGCTAGGAAAGGGCCCCTGAAAGAGGGGGCCCCCTAAGGGTACAAGGGGGCCCCCCACAGAACACACGGGGGCCCTTAGGGTCACAGGGGGGCCCCCAAAACAATTACATAGAGCACAAGAACAAGAGACAAAAGGGGGCCCCTGCAGCCCCCACAAAGAAAACGCTGCTTTCACGTCTACGAACAGCCAAGGGGGCCCCAACACGAGGGGCCCCCAGGGGGGCCCCCCCCAAGAAGAGGGGACCCAAAGAGGGCCCCATACAGAGGGGCCCCCAAGGGGGCCCCAGTTTGAAGGGCCCCCTTGGGGGGGCCCCCGGTCGAGGGGCCCCCCGGGGGCCCCCCCCAAGGGTGCGCCCCCATACACTGCATCTCAAATAGCAAATTGATGAAAAGGCAGCAAAAGACAAAGATTAACAGACGGACGAACTGCGGGGGGCCCCCAAGGAATAAAGGGTACGGGGGGGCCCCTCCATACAAATGCATGCATGAAACTGGGGGACGGTCGAGCTGCTGCTGCTGCTGCTGATGCTGCTGCTGCTGCTGCTCTTCCTGCTGCTGCTGCTGCTGCCGCTGCTCTTCCTGCTGCTGCTGCTGCTGCTGCTGCTGCAAAGGACTGCGTCTCAGGGGCTATACCCCACTGTAGCAGTCTTCCTCTCGCGGGGGCCCCAAAAGGGGGGCCTGAGCCTCGCAAAATCCCATGGTGGGGGCCCCTTGGGGGGCCCCCCGGGGGGCCCCCCATCAGGGGCCCCCTATGTGGGGCCCCTCGGGGGGCCCTTTAGAACAGTAGACCCACGGCTGCATTTCCTCATGGGGACATTTCATCTGCTGCTGCTGCTGCTGCTGCTGCTGCTGCTGCAACTGCTGCTGCTGCTGCTGCTGCTGCTGCTNTTCATCTGCTGCTGCTGCTGCTGCTGCTGCTGCTGCTGCAACTGCTGCTGCTGCTGCTGCTGCTGCTGCTACTGCTGCTGCTGCTGCTGCTGTTGCAGATACCCAGCAACTGCAGCCCACCCTAGAGGGTCTAGCTGCTCCTGTGCAGCAGCAAATGCGTCGAATGGGGGGGGCCCCGGGGGCCCCCTCTGTCCCCGTGGCCTTCGGGGGCCTCGCTGGAACAGCCGCTGCTGCTGCCGCTGCTGCTGCTGCTGCTGCTGCTGCTGCCGCTGCTGTTGCTGCCGCGGCTGCTGCTGTTGCCGTTGCTGCTGCTGCTGCTGCCGCTGCTGCTGCTGCTGCTGCTGGTGCTGCTGCT